CACTGATATAAGAGGTGTTAGATGGTGGATGGATGGATAGATAGATGGACAGATGGATAGATAGATGGTTGGGTGGGGGTGGGGGTGAATGCTGGTATGTTGCTATATAGTGATTAAGAGCCTTATCTATAACAGGCTCTATTTATGTGTAAGTCAATACTCAACAACATATCAATTATGTCAGTTGGTTTGGGGGTCAGCTTAAAGAGCATCTTTCTTACATTTTTTGTGAGCTTGTATTGATATTATTGTTATTTCTTATTGAGCACTAACTGTGCTAAGCGTCTCCTATTAAGACTCAATTATACAGTAAATTATAGTATTTCTCCTTTTCTAGTCAGAGGGAGTCTACTTGTATTCTGAGACCATTTTCAAAGCATTGAACTACAATTTGTTCCTTTGCATTTCCGAGCTTTCTGGCAGAGGGAGAGTCTGAGGAACCTTTAGCTTTCACCCATTTTATAGATGGCAGAACAGAGAGGATATAATCGACTAAAATAACATATTCATCAGTGGTACTGTAAGCTATGCCAAGTAACAGGAAAGGGCGCGTTCAGGAAAGATTTGTGGGGAGGATTTTGACCCTTCTAAACTAATTTTGACTGGTTTAGGTACAAATAAACTTAACAGGCTTTTGAAATCCTAAGTTGGCTAAGCACAGCCCCTGCCTGATTCCTGGATTCCATGCGAGTCTGTTGCAATTTGCAAAACCCTATTACAATTAGGGCTGCTGTTATTCAACTTTCTGAGGAATTTCCTGCAAAAAAACATTACACACACACACACAAAAGATATTCCAAATGTTGGTAAACTCTAAAGCTTGTCCAATTCTAATCTGAGATACAGACAGTTCACATACAGTAAACAGCCAAATCCATAGAGACTGGTTGTATGAGGTTCTCACACCTAGCTCGGTGATGTGTTGAATTCCTCCAAGAATCTTCCTTTGAAGAGAGGAGAGTGGTCATTCAAAGCCACAAATAAATTTAGCACATTCACAATTACCTACCGATGGGTGTTCATGGTGGCAGTGTTGCTATGTGCTAATAGAGTGCATTTTTAAAAGAATATTACCAGCAATGTAAAATGCATGTAAAATGTAGTTTTTTTCTCTTTTACCCTTTCATGGTTTTTCTAACTGTGGTTAAAACAAAACAAAACAAAACAAAAACCAAAAAAAACAAAACATCTAATAGGAGATCTGCTCTCTCATCAAACTCTTCAAATGCTACAATACAGCATCATTAACTCTGAGCACGACTGTTGTACAGCAGTGCTCTGGAACTTTGTCTGCAACTCTGTTCACTGAACAGCAACTCCCCTTTCCCTCACGATGGATCCCTTTCATTTTTATCCACAAAGCTCAGGAATGATGGGAGCCAAGAAGGGAGGCAATATAATCCCCAAATTGCTTCAATTTGTATCCAGCCTGCTTGGCATCGCTTCTGACTTCAGTTGTGCTCTTACCCTGGGTGATTTAAAGATAAAGGTTAATGTTTATTTAGCAGTTATGCACCTGTGCTAAGCTCTTTGAATCATTATCTCATTTAATCCTCTCAACAGCATTGTGAGTTAGATACAATTATTATCTTCTCTCTCTCTCTCTCTTTTTTTTTTTTTTATAGATGAGGTAAGAGACTTGGAAAAAATTGAGTAATAGCCTCACGTTTACACACCAAGTAGTAGACTGAGGATTTGAACTTAAGCCACCTGCCCCCAGAGCCTATAGCATTAATAACTCTCCTAAACCATATTTGAAATATCCTTTTCCCCTTCCAGTACACACATACACCCCCACTGCAGATCTTACGTCAGGAAAAGCTGGATAAAGAATCGAAGCAAAAGCAAAACAGAACAAAAGTCTCCAATGGAAACTCTTCCCCGCTCATATTGTCCAAATCGCATGAATGCAGAGTGCACAGACATCTAAGGCATCCCTGAAGGTTTTACACTTACATACCTGTAACTAAAAATTAAGGGGCGGGGGTTGTACATTTCTTTGTTTCAGTACAAATAAACTATCATAACTTCATAAGAGTCACCTGCCTAGTTCATAAATTCAGTCCACAGACATATTCAATTTGGGTACAATTTAAAAAAAAAAATCTAATTTTAGATATTTTAAGGAAAGATGTGCGCCTTTCATGTTGGCAGATTCCTCACCACTCCTTGTCTTGCTTTTTTTCCTTCATTTACTTACTTTACTTGCTTTGCCCTCTTAAGCATTTGCGTTTGAAATCCCTGCTTAATAGTAAAAATTGGGATGGTTTTAGTTACATATGTCATATATTAAAATACAATACCCATATTTTATCTTGAGACAACTTCTGGTGAGGCATTTGCTCTCATATTTATCTTAATATTATGGCCCTTCCTGGGGCACCTGGGTGGCTCAGTCGGTTAAGCGACTGCCTTCGGCTCAGGTCATGATCCCAGGGTCCTGGGATCGAGCCCCACGTCGGGCTCCCTGCTCAGCGGGGAGCCTGCTTCTCCCTCTCCCCCTCACCCTGCTGGTGTTCCCTCTCTCGCTGTGTCTCTCTCTGTCAAATAAATAAATAAAATCTTTAAAAAAAAAAAAAAAATATTATGGCCCTTCCTTCCTTCCTTCCTTCCTTCCTTCCTTCACTAACATTTTATTTCCTCTTTGGATTCCTACTTATTTAATTCTTCATGGCCTCTAGGCCAGAGGTGGCTATGAATGAGAGGAGGAAAGGGGCTTTCTTGAAGCTGCTTTTTTTTTTTTGGTAGATTTCTTAGAGCTGCTTAAGGAAAGGCTGCAGGCTTGCTTCTCTGACTCCTTCTTGTCCCTTGGCAAAGAGAGCCAAGCGCTGTGGCCAAAGGTGCAGGAAGTGGTAGTGTTGGGGCAGGTGGTGGCATCTGGGCTGCTCAGAGGACGTGGCAGGCAAGTTGCTCTCCTCCTCTGCGCCTCAGTTTCCTTATCTATAAAACACAACTGACGATACCTCAACCAATTTGTGTGAGGGTTCGATAAAGCATCTGGTGAGGTGCCCAGCGCAGAAGCGAGATCCAGAACATACAGGCTTCTGTTTCCCTTCATTTCATTCTTCTCAGAAACTGGGATTGAATACAGACACTGCCAGTGATATCAAAGTATATGAAAGGGTTTCTGATGAGAATGTCAGAGAGAGGTTGCAACAAAAATGTGCTCTTCCAACAAAAGCTCTCTAAAACCACCATGCAGTGTCAATATGCCTCATGTATGAATTCATTAATGTACGTGTGTGTGCTCCTGTATGCAGCATCGCTGTATGTGTGAGCATGTATGTGTGTGACACATACATGCAGCATTTGTGTGTGGATAAATGTGTGTGTGTGTGTGTGTGTGTGTGCACCCAGAAGGAAACTGCTGCGGGAAGAGACTACATTGCACTAGATATTTGATGGGAACCCTTATTCAGTATATAGTAACTCACGGTATATAAAATAAAGTCCATTTATGATGTTGGTCTTATCTTCTAATTAAAATCATAGGCATGAAGCTTCTTTATACCTGCATAAAATAAGCAGTTTAATTTCTCTGTACTAGGGGAAAAATGATTTCATTGCCTGTTTCGTAGCCCATCAGCACGTGGTGGGAAGCAAGTCAGGGTGGTGAGGAAAGCTTCATTCTTCCTCAATGTATTTGTCCTCTCAGACTTCACGAGGAGCATGGATGCAGGCTCTGAGGTGTTCTCAAGGGCAGCAGGGGGGCTTTTATCTGCTGCCCCTACCCCTTCACGTTGCCAAGGGAGGTGAAGCTATTTTGTCTATGAAAAATCCACCTCAGAACGTTTCCCCTAGATTATTCACGTATGAATGAAAAAAAAATATTATACTGCATCCATTCCTTAAAAATTTGCTGATAACTAGTAATAACTTATTTCAATGAAGCCAAAGCAAATATTTGAGAAAAAGAAAGTAAGCTTGTCTTGGAAGCTATAAAGGAGTAAAAGAGGAAAAGGACTATGAATCTTTGCAGCTAAAGGGATTGAATCTGTTTTAAAGTTTACTTTGTAATAGTAATATATGCTATGGGTAACATTTTTAAAATCCTGCTATTTAATGATTTTATTTTATAAGGTTTGGGAATGGTTTTGGCTTCATTTTGTGCTTTGGGCCCTGCGGCTCAGACCATGTATCGAAGTAGCCCTATTGACTGGTGGGAGTAGAGCGAAAGACAGGAAATAACTGAAGAGGGAATAAGCTCATTTGCTCAGTCACTCAGCAAACATGAGGAACTCAAAGAAGCTGGGTCTCTCTGGATAATAAAGGTCAAAAGGGCTGTGGTGCTGATGAAGCCAGAGACAAAAGCAGGGGGCAGAGTTTGCTAGGCTGTTTCATGGATTTTAGAATATAGGAAGATCAATGATAAGCCATCGGATGGTTTTATGTAGGGGGATGTTGGAATCAGATTTGTATTATAGGATAGTTGTTCTGGCCACAGTGTGACAAAGTGGATGGGGGGCAAGTGGGGACAGCACTGTGATTGGCTAGGGGTATTTTACAGTAATCCAGTGTAGAGATTATCATGTTTTGGACTAGGGCAGTTACAATAGCAGGAAGATAATCGGTAAAATACATGGGTATTTTGAGAGGCGAGTGGGAAAGCAGAGTCAAGGATGAATCTCGGGTTTTTGGCTTTATATTGAACCGTTGGTGGAAACATAAACTGAGCCAGGCAGGACATGGTGGGAAAGGAATGGGCCTGGGATCAGGTACATTGTGGGGCATGGTGAGTTTGAGGTGTTTGTGGACATCCAAATAGAAGATTCTGCCAGGAAGCTGAGTCTGAGACTGAGAGGAGACCTCAGGTCCAGATTGAATTTTTGAGTTGTCCCAGAAAGATGGCAATTGAAAAAAATAAAGCTTGGAAGAAGTCACTGAGGAACAGTGCATTGAATAAAAAGAAAAGGGGTCTACACTGAGGGTTTAGCAATGGTCATTATTATAAGGAGATCAGAGAAGGTTGAGTATTCAAAACAGATGAAAAGGAAGACAAGATGAACTTGATGTTATGGAAGCCCCTGGAAGGGAATGCTGAAAGGAGGATGGAATTGCCATTGGTATCGAAGACTGTCAGGAGTTCAACTGCGGGAAAGGTCTGAGCGTCTAAGTGTCTGTTGGATTAAATACTGGAAAGTCAGTCACAGGGTTAGTGAGATCAATGTCTTCGAGGTACTATAAGTAGAAGCCAATCTGCGCTGATGGGAGGGGGCTTTTACGTTAAGTACTGAAAGGTCAATGATAATTAGAGCGATCACTTGTAAGACTGTATGTTATGCCAACTGTCAAAGCCATGTTCGGATATCGTGCTACTCAAATTATTGTGGAAACTGAGGCCTCTAGAGTTAAGTAGGTTTCCAAGGTGACCCAAGATGAACAGAGAAGCGTTGAGTTTGAATCTGCTCCCTTGGATGCCAAAGCCTTTCTACTACACCATTCTGTCCCTTTGGCTTAGGGATGATGCACTTTATTGAGCAGCAGTCTTTGCCCCAGGGGCCTTTGGGGATGTGGGCTTTGGAAAGTATCTAGAACAAAGTGATCATTGAAACCACTTAAGTCAATTAAATCACTCAAACAATTCATTCAGAAAGAACAAAACAAAACAAATCCCACAAAAGTGGGATAAGAGGGAGGTCCTTTTCAAGACTAAAGGGCACGTAAGAACAATGGTGTGATGAAGAGTGCCCTGGAGAATTGAGGGAGGGGGAGGGGCAGAGGGCTTGTGTGATGGTCTCAAGGTCAGGGGACAGAGGAGCATAAGAATATGCTCTCGCTACTTAAAAGATGAACATCAACAATGAAACTACCTATAAGATGGACATCACAAAATGAAGCCTCATTTGTATGCACACCTAACCGTGCATAATATTTTAGCTCCATTCAGCAACGAAGGGCTAAATCAGGGAAAAAATGCCAATATTTCATATAGAGACCCACATGCCCCTTTCTGTGCTGTGATATACAAATACAGATGACTTTATATTTATGCTTTAATTTCTTGTGTTTATTCTCTCATGCTAACTCCATCTGTATTTTCTCTCCTCTCCTTTCTTTAGATCATGCTTCTTAGTGATCCTGAAATGGAGAGCAGCATATTAATCAGCTCAGATGAGGGGGCCACCTATCAGAAATACCGGCTCACTTTCTACATCCAGAGTTTGCTCTTCCATCCCAAGCAGGAGGACTGGGTGCTGGCCTACAGTCTGGATCAAAAGGTGAACAAACACTGTCTTTATTCACATCTTGTCACCCAGGTACCACCTGGTGAAAAGCACTTGTTTACTTAGTCCAGATGTTGGAGGGGATTCAGTGACGTTTCATCATTCCAGCCGGGTTCATTTTGTCTGTAGCAACGAACTTTCTTTTCTGCTCTTTAGTATCAAACTATGCAAGCAGCTCTATTATTGGCAGTGCTGTGCATCATTTCATAGGCTTAAGATGGTTTCCTCTATAATTTTACTCATTTGACCTTTAAAACAACCCTGTGAAGCAAGTAGGAAAAGTGTATTCATAGTAATTTTATAGTGATTGTAGTAAACGAAGGTGCCGAAGGGCTGAGGTGTTTGTTCAAGCCTGCCCAGCCGGTAGTTGGAAGAGCCACAGCTGGAATGAATGTTGTCAGATTCCAAGTCTAGGGAATGTTCCAGCATACCATGCTGCGTTGATTTGGTAAAACTTGAATATACCATTTTTGTAGTTTAGCAAAGGAAGGGAAGTCTCAAACTCGTCCATTTTGTTGTTTTCTAAAAGTACCTTCAAGATATAATGACCCAATAAGTCCTCCTCTTTGAGCTCAAGATCCATTTACCCAGCTGTGTACTTGACCTTGTCTCTTGTATGTCTCAGAAGCCTCTTGATTCAGTGGATTCCAAAAATGGACATCTGCTCTCCCTCCAACATAGCTGGTTCTCTTCCAGTCTTCCCTAATTGTATCCATTTGGTTGCAAAAGTCAGAGACCTAGGAGGTATCCTTAATACTTCCTCATTCCTAACCTAGCATCTCTAACCTATCATTCTATCTCCATCTCGTAATTCCATGGACTTCTGTTACCACCACCACTGAAATCTAGGTTATATCTGTCATTCGAGTGTTGACCAGAGCCTCTTCCAGTGTTTATACTATAACCTGAACAATCTATTTCCCAAATGTAGGTCTTAGGATTTCCGCATTTTCTCCGTGTTCACAGAAAAAAGACCACAGTCCTCTGTAGAATCTCCTAGGGCCTCCTTAGCTGGTCCCTCCTCTGACTTGACTCACCGTTACCACGTTCCCTTGAATGTCCTTCTTTCAGTTCTTCATCCCAGCTGTCTTCCTGGCTCCATTCCTGGGCCTAAATCTTCTTCCGTGAAGTCAACTTTGTCACTGTCAGATCTCAGATCTAGTATCGCTTCCTCAGGACGTCTTCCCCTAAACTCCCTGACGAAGTTAGATGCTCCGTGGTGTTCTTTCCCATAGTGCCATCCCCTTCCCCTCCAGAGGGCCTGTCACGGGTGAGATTTTACATTGACTTATGTGATCTTTGGATTATCTGTGTTCCTCACCGGACTACAAGCTCCAGGAGGGCAGGACCACGTCCGGTTTTGCTCATGGATGTTGTACCAGGGCCAGCACAGTGCCTGGTACTTAAAAGGTGCTCAGTAAATATCTGTGAGGTGGACAAATCAGTGGATGGATACATAAATGCTATGGTGAGCCTGCTGTAGCTGATCAACTTATACTGAAGAAAAGGGACTTTAGGGACGCCTGGGTGGCTCAGTCGTTAAGCGTCTGCCTTCGGCTCAGGTCATGATCCCGGGGTCCTGGGATCGAGCCCCGCATCGGCTCCCTGCTCCGCGGGAAGCCCGCTTCTCCCTCTCTCTGTCAAAATAAATAAAATCTTAAAAAAAAAAAAAAGAAAAGATTCTCTCCCTCGGGGCGCCTGGGTGGCTCAGTCATTAAGCATCTGCCTTCGGCCTGGGTTGTGGTCCCGGGGTCCTGGGATTGAGCCCCGCGTCGGGCTCCTTGCTCAGCCAGAAGCCTGCTTCTCCCTCTCCCGCTCCCCCTGCTTGTGTTCCCTCTCTCGCTGTGTCTCTCTCTGTCAAATAAATAAATAAAAATCTTTAAAAAGAAAAAAAAGAAAAGGGACTTTAGATTATTCTTCTTTGTATTTCCTTAGTATAGAACCTTAGTACAGTGCTTGATGCCAAACTATTAGGTAATCATGTTGTGGAATCAATCAGTGAAAGCAAATAGATAAAATAGATAATTATAAGCACTGCCTTGTGTAGAGATATCCACAGATTAACCTTAATTGAAATAGCTTCGCTTCTTCTCTTCTCTCTTAAATCCTGATACAGTTGCTCCTCAGTATATATTTGAATATGTGATTTTAAATGTGAGTGTGTGTGTGTGTGTGAGAGAGAGAGAGAGAGATGTCAGCACCTTTAGACAATAATTTCAGCATAACCTTTATATCTCTCATTAATGGAGCCTCATGTTGGGTGCCAGGTGCTTAATGCAATCCCCTAAGGACAGCCACATGACATTTGCAAAGCAAAAGCCATTGCAAATACATTTCTTTCATGGCATCAAGTGGCTATTGTATGAAAGACTTAGCCAAATGTCAGGTAGTCTGTGAGTTTGGATGCTTCGTATTGCTATGAATTTTGAAGCTATATTGAAAAATAAATTTTTTGGCTATTGTTAAAGGCTGGATGGTAATTTATTTAGATGACACTCAGAAAACCTAAACTATGTTTTTATTTATACAGAGACAAGCTAGATTAGACATCTCATGCCAAGAGGTTGATAAACCAAATGCGGAATGCCTTGGGTGTATCCAGAAGGAGGATCCTTTTCCCTCATCTCCATAGCACTGAGAACATCTGGGGCATTGCTCATGAAGTAGTCTTGTGGATTTAATGCATTCAAAATACTTTCAGGCTTGGTGGCTGCTTTTTTACATAGTAAAAATATTTGGAAATGTGGCAGTAGGTGTTGATGGATTTTCCTAATCACACTGCACATTTCTGGATGTATTATTCCTTAGGTACTCTTTCTTGTTAACATCTTTTGCATAAAGTGGCTGAATGTTCTTCAGGCCCATAAAGTTTCTAACTGGTACCCTGCCATTCTTCTAAATAAATGGTGTGAGGAGGCAGACGATGCCCCTGGCAACTTTTGCAGAACTGGCATAAAACACCTAGCCTCCATCATCCAGGGTTTAGAGGAGTTTTTCTTTAATTTATTGGTTTAGAGTCCAGGAGAGGGATGCTATGCAGCAGCGGATGGAGAGTTGAGATTGATAGACAAATGTCTTATTTCAGACTGAAACCTTCTCTGATGTGCATGCATTGAGGCATCTGGTTTCTTCTAGAGAAAATGAAAAGTGTGAGTAGGAAGGTAACTGCAGCATCGAAGGGAGAGGTTTGTGGTGAGGAGTGAATCGATGTTTCCATTATTGTGCCTTTGATGAAATGCACTAGCAATTTCTTTAGAATTGGTAAGGCTATCTCGTTATGTTGTATGTATTACAAAAGACCTAATTGAATGATATTTTAAAGGGACAATATCCAATTGCTTTACCTTCCAAATTGCTACCTCAAAGCTGCAGGAGACTTGCCAAGAGATCTCACTCGGTAAAGCCGCTGCTGGAGAATTAAGGAAATACGTTCTGGATAGAACAAAATTGCAGCTAGAAATTGAGACATGCTCATAACTTCGTGTTAGTTGAGACCCTGGATGGCAGGTTGTGAGTCAGCTAGGAAATGTGCCTACCTTGTACTGGTCAAGGCCAGGCTGTGGGAGATCACCCAAGCCTCCCAACTTCCAAAGCTACAAACCGGTGGGGAGGTAGGGACAAATGCACCTTGCACTTGACCCTTTGGAGGGCCATGGCTCTCCAATTTTGATGTGTCACAATATAGCAAAGTTATTCTGTTTCCTGTTCAGCTTGACCTGGGCTTTTGAGCAAGTCCTTCCATTCTGGCCATCCTAGGAGCTTCCTGATTCCTGCTCCTCTTCTGTCCTATAGATTCTCCTGGCACTTTTCATTTTAATATAAAAGAACTCAGTACTTACTGAAGATGAGAGATTCTTTCTTGGGTATATGAATCTTGGGAAATGCTTTATAAGAATCTTTGTGAAACAACTGGCAAAAGTAATAGGTTATGGTTGATCAAATTGGAATAATAAAAGAAAAGCTACGCCTCTCTTCTGTCTGAGTCAAAGCCCTAGAATGTCTTTGGAGGGCTGTATATTTACAGTTATTTAAGAGGCCGGATTCTCTTTTGTTTCCATCAGGCTGTGGCCTCACTGATGACTGAAACTACACTGTGATGTTTTGGATTAGCTGGAGGGCTCAATACTATTATTCAAACTGAGATTCTTAAAAAAAGACTTTGAGATAGGTTTTGAGGATATTACAGTCCTCTAAATGGACAGGTGTTGTTCTCATCGCTGTAGAAAGCTGGATTTTTAAACATCCCTTATTTTGACAAGAGACTTGGTTTGATTTTTTATTTGTTTTTGTTTTTTTTAAAGTGGGTACATGCTCATGTATTCACAGATGCATACGTCCTGGCACAGGGGTCTTCCGCAGGAGACAGTTGAAAACAGCTATTTTTCTGCAGAAGAGGTAGAGTTACAAAACTCTCTATTATCATTTATCTTCTTGGCAACATGAAACTTTAACAGATACAGCTGGCTTTGGAGATCAGAGATGAGGAACTCCATGGGATTTCAGATTCTGTTGTTTTTCAGACACTTCCGGCCTAGACTGGTCTAGAATTAACAGTATTTTCAACGTAAAAAAAACACTTTCTGAAACACTAGCACACATAATGAAGGGTTTCTGTTCTAGTAGTTGGGTGGAGTGGGCCATTATGTGTGTTTTTTTGTTGATTTGTTTTTTTGTTTTTGATCACCTGCTACCAGCCAAGTTCAACAGTAGCTGACAGATTGACAGGCTGGTTAAGGAGCTGATGCAGTTTTGGGCATGGTCACTGGCCAAATAGAGTCCACAGCTGAAGAGGTGATGGTGCTTCCATGCAGGCTTTGCTGGTTGAATCCTATCTGGGGCTGCTGTGTCCTGCATGAACAAGGCACTGGCGAATTAGAGTATCTGGACTGTGGAGGGCCTGAAAATTCAGAAGGAAGTTTAAACCCGTACTTCGGGAATGCTGGATACAAATGACGCTGTTCCTTTCATTTGTATTCTTCTGTAAACCCTCAGAT